CGGCCCCCGCCCGGGCCGTACAGGCGCCGCAGCTTGGGTGGCAGGTGCAGCTCCGCCTCGAACTGGGCGCTGCTACCCTTGGGGGAGCCTGCGGGCGAGGGAGAGCGGTCAGCGAGCCGGCGTGTCCCCGCCAGAGCCGCTGGCCCGAGCCCGCCCGCGCCTAGGCCCAGGCGCTCGAGCCCCAGCGCCACCAGACTGCGACCCCTTCGCCGCCTTCTCCACTTTTCTTGCTGTTTTTCTTTATATCTTTCTGTCTGTCGTTCCCCTTCTCTAGTTTCCTTTTTTCCTACTCCTCTCTTCCTCCCTCCCTTCTTTCCTTTCCCTCTCTCACTCTCTCCTTTATTTCCTTTCTTCCTTCCCTTACCTATTCCCCTTGCTCCCCCTCTCCCTTCCGTTTAATTTTTCTTTCCTTCTCTGTTTTCTTTCTTTCTCTCCCCTTCTTTTCCTCATCCCTTTCTCCTTTTCTCCCCTTCCCTTTCTTTTTTAACGTGCTTTCCCTCCCTCTCTTCTTCTTTCTTTCCTTTATTCCTTTCTCTTTCTTTCCCCTTGCCCACTCTCCCACTTTTTTTTCCCCCTTCCCATTCCGGGGCAGGGGAGAATTCGAAAACATTGTACAACTTCAGAAAAAAAATCACCACCACCCTGGAAACTGCGCACGACCTCTACCCGCTGCTCGGCCGCAGGGGCTGGGGCTGGCAAGAGGGGCGCTGCACCGCGGGCGACCCCTGCGGGGGAAGCAGCTCTGTGGTCCAGAGCGCTGGCCGCGCCCCGAAAACCCACAGCGGGAGGGGGCGAGTGTCCTTGCACAGAAAAGCAAAGAAAAATCGTCCCGGAGAAAATTCGCTTGGAAAGGGCTGGGGTGAGGACGGAGGGGGGGGCGGTGCAACAGGCACAGGCCGCTCCTTCCCTTCGAGGAGAGCCTGGCAGAGGTGTTACCGCAAACTAAAAAAAGAAAAGGAAAAAGTCAGTTTTATTTTAAACGGCCCCCTCTCCGCAGTCCCCTCCTGTCTTCCAAGGGGCACTGCGTGTGGCCGGACCGCTGGTTTTCGGATTTTAAAAGAAACCAACAGTTTTTTCCCTGCGACATCTCTGCAGCCAGCTCAAGCAAAACTTGAGCGTAACAAGTTCGGTGCAAAACGACAGTTGTTCTGGAATGTTCAATTTCAGAAAAAAAATAAAACCTTTTAAACATCTCAACAGCTCAACTCCATTAAAAAAAAAAAAAGACATAGCAGAGAAAGAAAAAAAAAAAACACCCAGAAGCCACACATTTCATACACTTCAAATACAATAAGGAGAATTGGGGGGATCCCAGGGAGACGTTTTCTGCAAAGCTTGGGTTTAAAAGGTCGCAAGTAATCTACAATAAAAAAACAAAAACAACAAAAAAAAGCAAAACACCGCGTATAAAGAAATCTTCCAAAGAGAAAGGGCCCAGGCTCACCCTGCCTGGAGACCCCCATTCAGCAGCTTTTGGGTTTCTTGTCTTCATTAAGTTGTTGCTACAGGGGTCCACCGGGCATGTGCTGTTTCTGACCTGTCGCCCCTCCTCAGAGCACACCCAAGGCCACCAAAAGGGGGGCATTTAAACGACCTAACTATTAACACCGATAACCTAAAGGCCCCCTAAACGAAGCTGGGCCTCTGCTTTTTCTGGAAGCAGGGAAAGAGGGAGAGATGTTTTATCGCTCTTTGAAGCAGCAGGCCTCAGAGCTGTCCCCTCTCTCTCTTTCCTTGATCTCCAACTTGACAAACCCAGGCCCTTGGCCCCCCGAACATTAAACATCTATACAGTGTCCAGCGCCCTTAGCAGGTGCCTGACGGGCGCAGCCTTACCTTGCACGGCCTTTTCCTGGTCGGCGCGGCTGGCCAGCGGGGCAGGCAAGCTTTGCGCGGCTCCCAGCAGCCGCATTTTGCACGGGCTCCTCCGGCCCAGGATGCTGTCGATGCAGTAGGAGGAGAGCAAAGTTGGAGATTTACTTTTACACTCGGGCCTCTCGGAGCAGCCCTCCTCCTGGTACTGATTGCTCATGGCTGGGGCTTTTTCCCTGGGCGCAGAGAGCCGACCGCTGGCTGCCTCTCCCGGAGGGTGGGATGGATGGGTGTGTGTTGGGGGTGGAGTTAGATGGCTAGTTATAACGGATATTATTGCGATCTTTGTGCCTCTCTGCCTCCCTCGGTTGCCGGCTGCCGGCTCCCGCCCTGCCCGCGGCCCCAGCTCGCCCTCTCCGCGCTCAGGACAAGCGGTAACAAGTGTAGTGAGCAGCGGGCGCTGAGCTCTGGAGTCTCTCTCCTCCACGTGCTGAGAGGCGCCCTCTGATTGGCTGTTGCCAGAGGCCGGGCTGCGTCGGGCTGTGGGCGCAGCGCAAAGCCCGGACTGGATTCCAGCGGGGCAGGCGGCGGGGGTGGGGGGGCGGCGGGTAGCAGCTCCCAACAGAGCCAATTTTCTTTTTTTCTTTTTCTCTCTCTCTCTTTTTTTTTTTTTCCAAACTAACAACTTTCTAAGTTTGCCATCCTCTTCCTGCAGCTCCTCCTTTAACCCTTTATGGATGGCCGAAGTTCTAGTTCATTCAGACGCCAGGCCTGTGGGTGCCACCTCGGCGGCGTGCGCCCCTTCCACCAACCGGAGGACCTCGCGAGGCCTCGAGGCTCAGCTTCAGACCCTCTTGGCACTTTTCAAAGCCGATATCGCGCTCCTAGGACAGCGCCCTGACCTCAGCGGAGCTCATTCGCCGTCTTCTCCAGGCCGGCCCGCCCCCGGGATGCCAGGATGACCGCTGCAAGCAAACATCTGCCGTCTGGGGGTTCGGTTTTCTCTTGCGGTCCAACGCATTGCGCTGTCTTCACACTGAGCCCGGCTGTTGCTCTCTTGTTAGTAGCGTCCCTCAACCGCTCTCCTCTCCCTTTTAAACTCTGGAATGAGAAAAAGCCCCCTAAAGACAAAGCTCTGCTATAGGCGTGCGGCCTTTCCTAGAGCATCTCCTGGGAGGAACAGGACAGGCGAGTGTCAGCTGCGAGGAGGAGCGACTGAGACGGGTCTGGGGGTCTCCCCCTTCTCCCTGAGCTCTCCTCCTCTCTTCCCCCCTAAATTCATATCTGTTAGGCCGTCACCCTGAGGCTATTGACTCTCGAATTGCACCCGGGGAGCGGATCCAGTGAAGGGCTCTGAGCTCCCCAGGGTGGAAGGGACCTCAATTCACTTCAACTAACTCTAAGCGCCTAAATTCTGAATTCTCACGACCAGGCTCCCAGGGGCAAAGGTGAGAGAGGTGAGCCTTAGGGAGAGCGCGCTTCTTTCCAAATAGCTTCTTCTGCTGAAAACCAAGACCCAACTTCCACACAGACCCAACTTTCAGTGGAGCCTGGACAAGAGACCGGCACGGACGCCCTCCCTGCCTGGGTGCAGGGCCCAAGGGACCACCAGGGACCCCTACGCTGGCGGAGTGGGGGCGACGGTGGTGGGTGGGAGAGGGGCCGAGGAGGGGAAATCCACGCCGGGTTTTCCTCTCTCAACCCCTTCAATGTGTCAAAGAGAAAAGCGTTTTACAAAGGATTATACTTGAATCACTTACAGTCAGTATTTAAAAATACAAGGATGCATAACTGGGATTTTTTTCAGCCATAAACATCTGCACAACTCTTGGATGCTGGTGGGTGGGTGGCAGACAGATCGGGCTGGCTTGGCAGGAGCGTTCAAGATACAACTTGAGGCGGGTGAAGGGTTGGGAACAGGCACATTAATAATGCTAATACTAATGCTGATACTACTACTACTATTAAAGGCAGGACAAAAAGGATTTCTCTCTGTCCCCCTCTGTCTCTCTCTTTCTGCCTCTCTGTCTCTCTCAGGTTTTTAGTTTGATCCTCACCCGTTTTGCCTACACTTGGATGATGGGGCAGGAGTGGGGGCGGAAGAAAACCGGAGCTATCGCTAACATGTGATTTTCTTTTAAGCCCTCTCTGCTATTCCAAGGCACCTGGGATCAGCTCCTGCCTTTCCCACATTCTTCCTTTTGCATCCTCACCAACAGTTCTGTGTTTTTATACTGCCCGGTTCAGCTTTAAACTAACACTCTGCGCGCTGATTTCTTCGCCCCTTCATTCCCCCGTCCGCCAAAGCCCATTCCGGGCGTGCAGGTCTCATCACAGCCGAGAGGCGCAAGGACGCGCGGGTTCCCTCCGTGCCTCCAGCCGCGGACCCTCGCGGGCCCCTGCGGCTTGGTGGCTGCGAGAGACAGAGGCGCTTTTCCCTCCCCGGCTGGCCCCGCGTCGGAAATCCGCAAGACCCGGCTGCCGTGACTTCACAGTCGGCTCCGCACACGCAGAGAGTGGGCTGAAAATGAGTCCAAGAAAGATCGTGTTAAACAAAAAGAGACACAAATGCACAAACCATTTCTGAGAGCCCAACGGGGTTTCAGCTATGTCGGTGGAAGACTTCTTCGCCTCCATTCCCCTCCTCCCCCTTCTGCAGCTGTTCTCCTTCTTTTAAAAGAAGTCGGACTTTGTGCTGGGGTGTATTCTAATTTTAATCATCCACTGTAAAAGGGAAGGTTAACTTAGAGTTTCTGGTTCTGATTTAATGATCCCTGGAATTAGATCTAATTCTATTCATGGAATATAAAGTGTTTATTTGGGAGACCTGTGTGAAAACACTAGTTTGGTTTGTTTTGTTATTTTATTTATTTTTACTATGTTCTAATCAATCTTCCCAAGTGAGGATGTTATTGGGAAAGCACGTCCATTCACCTCGGGAGAAGGGCCTGATCTAGCTCACTCTACACCCAGTAGCCCTGAGATTGCCTTTGTCACAATTCAATACTCAACTTCAAAATCTACAGTGGACTCTTGCTATTTTCGAGAGATTAAATTAAAAAGAAATTACAGAAAACTTTTCTAAGATACTGGATGGGGAGACAAAATCTGCTGGCGTCTCCACAGTGTCTAATCAGAATATGAGTTACGATATATGTGTGTCATTCTATATGTCATTTTAGAAAAATAAAATAATGCCTCTAATATCTAGGAAGAATTTAATTGGTGTGTAGAGTAGGTAGACTTTTTAAGAATTGGGCTATAGGAGTATGTATAAAAGAACTTATAGTTTAGCCCAATTTAATATTTACTCTGCCAGCCAGCAAAATGACACTTCACTTTCTTTTCATCTCACTTTCTGCACTTTTTTACCCATTAATCAAAAGTAATTTCATTGTAGTGATAATATTATTCATGTTTGTACTTTATTATTCACAACCCCTGGCTCCTCTAATCTTTGGGGTCTGTAACTGTTGGTTTGCTTTTCCTATGCTGCTTGGAAAACAATAGTTTATGGTTCATCTGCTTTTAAAATCAATCACTAAATAAAAATGACAATAATGGCTGGAACTGAGGGTCAGAAGTGTTTAAAACTGTTGTTTATGGTGAAAAATAGGGCTTGTCCCCAGAACTGGAAATAATAATTACCTAGAAGAGGCGAGTGGAAGAAACCCCTTTCTTTTCTGTAGTGAGAGACCTAATTCTACACTGTAGTTTTAAAATTATATTTGCAAGAAATGCAGAATAAGGGGGTGGCAGTTAGATGTCATTTTCCAGGGGAAAAAAATGTTTGGAGGAGAGTTAACCTCACATACTTTTCGTTTGAGATGTTTTAATTTATTGTGCAATATACACATAGATAAATAAAGCTGTAATGGGCTTCCAGTCACACCGGACGGCTCAGGTCTCCTTAAATTATGCTCAACCTCTTCAAAACATATATTTAAACAATAGACATAAACTTCATTGGAGTCTGCCGACCAATTTGGAAACCAGTGGAAGGGAAGACAATAAGACCTGATTACACGCAAGGATTCTCTGTGATGTGATATCCCCTTTGCCAAGTCATTTTGCTGTGTTATTTATTTAATTTCTTTTTTTTTTTTTTAACAAACTTTCATTCATTTATGGTCTTCCGCAACCTGCTAATTTAACACTGGAGCGCGTTATTGCAGTGTTAGGAGGAGAGAAAGAGAGAGAGAAAACAACAATACTGCAATGATCCAAATGATACAGTAGAATTATAGCAATTATAGTTCTACTTGTGGAAGAAAACCTTGCTGAGATCAGGCAAACAAACTGAAGCCTTGTGAGGATAACAAGCGTCGGGATTGACAGCCGGTGCTGGGAAGAGCCGGGAGGGCACAAACAGAAATATTTTCCTCCCCCCACCCCCCCTTTAACTCCAACCAGTCAAGGTTAACCTCCTCAAATGCTGCTTTCAGAGTCTTACCCACTTCAGGGTATGCGTTTTATGCACAAATCGAGGTCTCTCCTGGAAGTCTGGTAATAGGAGGAAATGTAACATAGTCCGCTTGCCTAGAACTTGTCCCTCGCCTTCTGTGCCCCCTGCTTGCCCTCCACGTCCTACCCCTGCCTCAGTTCTTCTTATGGCTGCTGAGATCTGCCTGTGAACGGTATTTATTTGTTGATGTATTTTCAAAGGAGCAGCCCGTGGAAAGGTCCAAAGGGACTGATAACTTGGATTTCCTGGGAAGACTCCCTCGCGTTTGCTAATCCTTTCCTCTTCGCCGTGTCTTCCGCCTGAGCCGTGGGTTCCACCATTAGGGCTCGGCTGGGAGAGGTTTGTTGGGAAGCGGCTTTTTTGGAAGCGTCTTGAGGACCACGGCCCAGCCCTCAAGGTATGGACGTGTGAGTGTGATTGCTGTGTTAGGACAACTCCCCTTATTTGCAAACTTCACCACTTTCTCTTACCCGTCGGCGTCGGGGGAAGGGTGGGGGGAGCGAGAACTAGAGAGAAAACAGACCCCCCTCCCCGTCATCCGTACAGGAGGCAACCGAGGCTTTTTCAAGCTTTGCTCCAAGCACAAAGCTGGGCGAGATGGTCGCAGCCCCAAGTCTGCCCTCGTCCCCTCCCACGGACGAGAAGCAAGTGGTTGGGCTGTGAGCTCTCACCCTGAGTCTCTCGGCGGGAGCTCCCCATCTCCTGCCCCACGCATCTCCCCGGGTTTCCAAACCCGAGAGGGAAACTTCTCCGTGCCCTCTAATCACCACCATCTGCTTTCTTCTCTCCAGTGCCGGACGGCGGGACCCCAGGGTCGCGGCGTCCCGGGTGCAGCTCTTACTCTGTAGCTGCTGCTCCCGGCGACCTGGCGAGGGTGGTGGAAGGGGGCAGGTGGGCACCGGTGGGAGCTCGGGGAAGGAGCAACGAAGGACCCAACGCGGGCGTCGGCCCTCAGGCCGC